CAAATCTTCTGGTGACCACACCTATAACCTAGTCTAGTTTCCTGAGTGGATGTTTTACCCACACCTGCTTGACTATGAAGGTAGGATTCCTTTGCCTTTCTTGTATGTGTTGTATTTTTGACCGCACATTTGACGCTAAAACACGTCAAGAACCGTCCGATAGGTCCTGCTGTTGAGCAGTGGACAAGGAGGTTATTCCGACAAGATGTGAAGGGTGATCGAGTATTTTAACAAAAAGATTCAGACTGCTGCTCTCCTGTCTCTTTCGAACGAACGTTGAAAAGCAGTCTTCAACGTTTACACCAAATTCTCCTCCTGTCCGTTTGACTTGGGGTAATACGGCGGAGTGAGAAGTTTCATGACGAGAGAATATCTCCTGCAACGGATCGACGGTATCGGCTGCCTTTCCGGACTGCATTTCTACAACTCCTGGCTATTAGGCAAAACCCACGAAAACAATAAAATACTTCTGCTGATACAGTTCTGCGAAGCCAGCATAAACTCGGTACTATGGTCGTCCTTAAGATTCTCAGCGATGAAGTGGAACTTTAGTCTTGTCCTCAGAGACACTGCTGCAACGCTCACATTTCTGAGTCTTCAGTTCAATAATCCTGTCCATGTGTGATCACCAAACGAAGGACCGTGCCAGAATCTTTACATTGGTTTGTCCCACATGTCCTTTATAAAGACGTTCTATGACTCTTCACTGAAACTTGAGTGGGACAACGGTTAGAGAATTCCATAGGATGCAACTGTTCAAGATGGTTCATTCGGACCAGTGTCTGCGAAATGGTGCGGTGTCGCTGTCTGTCGCCTTCTCTGGCCAGCCTTTCCTGACGTACCGAAAGAAAACAGGGTCCAACACTGTTGCTGTGACGATGTCCTTTGCTTTTACTGGTAACTTCGTCAAACTTCGTGCGTGAAGCGCAAAGACAACTTGTGTAGCACAGAAGATTGTGAAGACCCCTCCGGTCATTTCTTTGTCGCAGCCCTCGTCTGGGCCTTCAGCTAAGTGGGAGAAGTCATCAGTGTCTCCAAACTTACCCGTCGGCCTGTACTCACTGGTGCAGGTGCAGTTCATAAAAATGAGCGCCCAACGTTGAATTTCGCCACTGCGACGGGGATACCTTTCAAGGGAACAAATATGGCTCTCTGATGTTTGTTGCTTGTATATAAATAAGACTGGTGCCCCCGAGGATGCTGGTGAGACTTCCGGACGGCAAAACATTTAGCCAAGTGCTTCCTTCTCAATTTGTGCTCATCCACGCCTGATGAGTTCAGAGCTATGGAAGCGTAGGCGATGAGGCGTTCCTTACCATCAATCTTAAAATAAAACACACACCCACGCCTTCAGACGATGCGATTGCCGCAAGGTATATGGGCAGATCAGGGTCCAAGTGGCCTAAAGTGTCCGTAGCCGTCAGCCGTTTGATGTCCTCAAACGCGTGTACGCACTCGCGAGGTGTCTTTTTTTTTTCCAGTAGTTTGTTTAGCGGCGCAGATATTTTAGCCAGGTTTGAAATAGACTGACATAATGCTGCACCTTTCTGAGCAGTTATCTTAGCTTTGGGATGTTCTTGGGCTCGGGTATATGTAGATTTGCCGACATCGTTTTTCTTAAAGGTGTAAAGCTCCGTGAGATACGACTTTCCCGACATATTCGACCTTTTCTTAAAGTAAGATGCAATTTTCTTTTTTAATAGTGAAGCCGTGCTATAGGAGATGCTGGAGAACCAGTTCTAGGTTCCGGAAATGCTCAGCAGTGTTCTTTCCAATCACGATGATGTCATCGATGCACCAAGCGCCAACCTCCAGTACAGCAGTTACCTGGTTCATTAGTCGATAGAAAACGGCTGAGGCGCAGGGGATCCCAAAAGGCATCCTGCTGAATTGGAATAGCTCTTTGTGAGTAGCGCTGTCTTAAGTCTCCGTCGAGCTCCAACTTAACGTACGCCTCTGACAAATTCAGTTTCTTGAACATGTTTCCCCCGTTGAGCTTGGCAAAGAGTTCTTTTGGTTGTGGCAGTGGGCGCTGGAAAATCCCGAGATACGGCTTCCCCGTGACACTGAAGTCCCCACATACACGAACTGATCCATTCAGCTTTGGAGCTAAAACAATCGGAGTTGCCCCCTGCGAGACGTTCACGGGAGCAAGAACGTTATTCTTGACTTGCTTATACAAGACTCTTTCTAGCGCTTCGTGCGTAGCTAACGGCATTAGGTGAGGCTTGAAGAACCTTGTCTTTACTTCAGACTTGAACCAAAATGAACTTTGACTTAAGTACAACAACCCAAGTCACCAGTGAACAAGCTCGGAATTATTGCAAGCATTCTCTTGAGCGAGGTTTCATCGTGCGTTTTCACAGATCGCACGAATATTTTGTTGAGGTCCCCCTTCGGCTTGACGGTCCATCTATTTCCAAGCAGGTTGATGTGTCGCATATCAGTTATTAATGCTTCGAGCTCCTCAGGGTGTTGCCCAAGCCTAACTTGGAGCAAACACCACCCCTTGAGTGTGATCTTTTCTCGATTGAAGCAGAAGCGGTTATGATCACAATTTTGTGGGTTGAGATGTCCAATGACTTGCCATGACTCCGTGTCAAGACGTTTTCGCTTTGCACCTTTGTCAACCTGCAATTTTACGGGTGTTCCTTGGATACTGCAAGTGACAAATTCTCCATTAGGTTCTTGAGTGACGAAAACGTTGGTGATCATTTTGTTCTCCTTTTGTTTGCCAGCTGTGTTCCGAGGGTCACTTGATCGGCATACCTTTGCAATTTGGCCTCGTTTAACACAGGCATTGCATGACTCATATAAAAAAATGGTAAACGAGCAGGCCAGGTTGTGCGTTCTAATTATGATGTTTAAACCCTTAGACTGGGAAGGAAACTTGAATATAACTTAGAATAAACAGAAGAAAGGTGGTAGACACACGTCCAAACTCCCCTAACAAAATGTATTTAAAACGACGCTTTTCTACCCCTTTGCCCAAGATCGTCTACAACGTAAAAAGACCTGAGTTAAGATTAAGTCACCTTGAAAACAATATGCGTTTGCTCTTGTTTTATTTCTACGTTGTGGATGACTTTGGAGAAGGACATAAAACGTTCTACGAAATATATTTTGTTAGCTGAGTTTCACAAGCCTGTCTCTCACCTATCTCCTGTTTCTTCTACTTTGTCTTCAAGTTTCCTTGTCAGTCTCAGGGTTTGAACATCATGATTGGCGCATGACTCATCTCGGAAGCGGTAAGCGCTCTGTGAGTAGATGGTGTTTCCGCATCGGAAACACTTGACTGTTACAGAAGTAAAATGCTTCACCTTTTCGACGAGCAGCGCAGCGTGCTCTCCTCTGTCTCTGCGTCATAACTCCCCTTCGACTTTAGGATAGGACTTGGCCAAGTGAAGCGCACTGTCAAGCGTGAGGTCCTACTGGACTCCAGAGTACCAGGCGTGCACGGACGCGTGTGTCACGGAGACTCACGATGAATGCTGTCAAAAACGTGCAACATTGGGCATTGGCTTCAGGTGCATACTCACAGTGGGTGATGATTGTTCGAAGCACTGCTATGAAGTATTTGACCGATTTAGTTCTATATCTGATGACTGTTTATTTTTGTCTGCGGATTCTGCTGCAAAAGGACCTGAGGCAAAATGCGCAAGTGCCTGAGAAGGCCTAGCCCCTTCTCGGTGTTCTGCGGGCCACATAAAAATTAAGACGGAAAAAAGACACATTATAGAAAATTTTCAAAAAGATTCAATAGCCAAATTAAATACCATTAAAAACCAAATAATCAATATTCTGTAGCGCACAAACACTAAATCAAAAGAATTATAAATATTTTCACGAAATAGTCCGATTGTCTAAAACACATGACATGTACACAAGTGTGTACTAAGCTCAATATACAAAGTATGTTGAATGATGTTGCTAAAAAGAGAAAGAAAATACAGGATAGAAGAACACTTTCTGCACAATAGCAGCATAAAATATGAAAAGATAAATTCAAGCTCATTCAAGGCAAATTCAAAGGTCAGGTATATCAAGAAAAGTGTCCAGGTGTTAGCAAAATATGAGCGCTCTGCAAGGATGATTTTATTTTTCTTCCTGACGAACCGCAACAGATTTTCCTCTTCTAATAATATAAACTTCTTAGGTGTTATCCGTTTGTTTTTGTTTCTTTACTAGCTCCTGATACGCTGCATCTGAAAATCTATTCAGCTTTTTGCATGTCTCGGCACCAACTGAAGCCATCAATAAGTTCTTGTCCGCGTCCACCATAACGTTATTGACATCAAGACAAGCTTCGAACCTTATATGATACAGCTTCCATTCCTCATTGTCGGTTAGAACGTCTCGGGGCCATAACTGCCATGGGTAGAATTTTCCACCCTCCTCGCTCCATGAATCTACTATGGTCCCCTTTCAGACCGCTGTTGTAAAGGTGTTGGCAACAATGGTCGTCATTGTAGTAATCCAGTGAGTCTGTTACTATTCAACTCTTTATTACAGTATGGCAGGCCGAAGAGACGTCGCTTAATTCTAGCTTACCAGCTCGCAGAATGAATGTGCTCGAGCTCAATACATCAGCTCGAGCTGCGCCGACGACGACTATCGTCTTAGTGGTCACCTCAGCTTGTGTAATCTGATAACGTTGGAATGTCTAGTTTTGTAATCTGCTTACAAATGCTTTAAAATATTGATACCTTGTTTATGTATCTATACGTTAAAATGTATGAGGGCAGGGGCCCCGCCAGGAAGCATTGAATTTTATCCCTACTTCCTTACCCGGCAAAGCGAAATATCATGCAAAAAAAAAAAATTGTACGGAGCTGGCGTTTTACGTAAGTGACCAACTGTTTTGTGATAAAAACAGTGCATTACTTGTACCTTGGGATATTTCAAAATATTTAGGGCGAAGATATAAAATATAAGTGTCGAAACGCCTGCGACAAAAATCTTAAAATTGGTTTTAAGATAATTGTATTTTTTTCTATCAGATCGACGAATTAGTGGGTGTAATTAACAATACTTTTGAAGAGATGCTTGAAAATAATACATGGATGGATGATTCTACACGTGAGGAGGCAATGGAGAAGGTACGGACCCTTATCCATACTGTGACCATCTACTAATGAGGTCATGCGTTTCAGCTTCGAAAAATGGGAGCAAAAATTGGTTACCCTCCTTGGATACTGAACGACACGTACCTTAATGGCCTTTACGAATACGTAAGTTATATTACGTCGATTACAGAATTATAATCTTTCATATTGTGGTAAGATTTGCTTCTGTGTTCCAGGTATTTTCAGGCGTTCTAGTCTTCATATATACCGAGGTTGCATAAATATGGCAATACAACCAATAGGTTGCATTTTTCTGATATTTTATATACAGGGTGTTTAATTTTCATTATAACTGTTTCTTTAAAGCGTGTGAGAGTTAGACTAGTGCCGTCTTTACAATGTATTTATGAAGCTTGGATGACATTAGTGGAGGAGATAGTCGTCATGGTAACCAGGCTAATTAAACTAAAGTCCGTTCATGAACTTTTTAGGTATTGCTTTTTAGGATCATGTTGCCACGGTAGTATGGAAGATGTGGGAAATCGCTCGGACTTTTCTCAAAATTCAGCGCGTGCATCCGATCGGCCATCTTTTTTAAGTCGAACTCGGAGAGCCGGAAGCCGCCCCAGCGCGTTGGTGAACCGTGTAGCCCGCCGGACAATTGACGCTGCGATGGCATTTTCCGAAGTCTAAAGATAGCATGCGGCGAAACAATCTAGAAGCTTCACATGCCCTTTTAGAGCGCAGCTCTCAGGGGCCCGTTTCCGGCTTGAGCGGAGTCTGCGTCGCCATCGCCGTCGGCGTAACCGCGAGGTCACGTGCCCCCCCCCCCCGTGGTCACGTGACGCACCCCCCCCGAGGTCACGTGACCCCCTGAGACCACGTGACCCCCTGAGGTCATGTGGCCCCCTAAGGTCACGTGACCCCCCCCCCCCCGAGGTCACGTGACTCCCCTGAGGCCACGTAGCCCCCTGAGGTCAAGTGACCCTCCTGAGGTCAAGTGACCCTCCTGAGGTCACGTGACCCCCCTGAGGTCACGCGACCCCCTGAGGTCACGTACGTCACACGACCCCCCTGACGTCACACGACCCCCCTGACGTCACAGAACCCCCTGACGTCACATGACCTCAAGGAGTCACCTATCCCTCAGTACGCTTCCATCCTCCTCCTCAAGAGCTGCGCTCTAATCCGGCGTTACAGGGATTTGTAAACGGCTTTAATTTTTTAAGACGCGTTTGCAACTTGTGCGCGTCAACGGCGATGCCGTCTCGCCAGCAGAGTACGTCGTACGTGTTTCCCTTCGGAGCGTACACGCGGCCCTCATCGGAATCGACAAAGGTCTGTGCCTCAAGCTATGTGAATACTGTTTCATATAAACCTGGACCAAAGGGGTCCCACTTGCTAAAAAATGTGCTTTAGAAACAACGCATGATCTAGGAACAAATCGCTTCTATGCCTGCTCATTTAAAATTGGGAGCATCATACTTCAGATTGAGTCGCCACATTTGCTTCCCAGGCATGCCGACACCTTTTCACTGTACATTCCTACTCACAATTTGTTTTCAGCGCACGCAAAGGCACGAGTTTAAGAACGTGGCTTCGCCAAATGCGTTGTGCCCATGAAAACTCCCGCAGAGAGGACGCTTTCAAAATTGTAGATGTTCGCATCAGCGCCGGCACTGAAGACGCCTTTGCAGTTTATTGGAACTTAGGACGTCATAGTTTCATTTTAGTTCACTGACAAGTTGCAAAGACGCGAAACGGTAAAATCATTAGAAACGTATGCTCCCGTCGGGGCTCCCTCCTTGCTGTGAGTGAGGCATGATGTATGTTACAGCAGTATCTTCGCGGCGTGGGTTATTAGCGCTTAAGGCCACCGAAGTGCAACAAAGAAGCTTACAAGCAATGGAGCACTTCACTCTCAGAAAATGGTCGCTATTTAAAGTACTCGTCGCGAATGCATTGCGGTAGAGAAGGAAGTGAACAGGTTGGCGCCATCACAGTTACATCCTGCAAGGTTGCAATACCCGATGTACGTACATAAATCACGTACGTTGAAAGCGGCTCTGCGTTTTCCTACAGTACAGTCGGCGGCAAAAGTTTCCGGGGCGCGGGAGCGTCAGCCGAAATTACTGGTTGCGCCTTGTGACGGCGCGCGGCCACTCTCAAGATTCACGCTTCGAGAATGTGCGTCCTTTCGTGCTCGAAGTCTTGTCTTTTTTGCTCGCTTCCGCCCGATGTGCTTGAGAGATAACCGGGACCGGCGCAAGGTGCCGCTATGACAGCCATCACGCCGCGCCTCCCCCCCAGCCACCGTGATGGGTGACGGAGCTCGCGCATGCTACAGATAACATTTCGCGGAACCTTGCGCAGTCCCTGTTATCTCGTGGGTGTCGAACGGAAGCGGGCGATAAAAGCATGACCGAGAACAAGAAAGCAGGCGCATGCGCAAAGTGTGAGTCTTAATTGCGGCAACGCGCTGCGAGAAGGCGCAGCCAGTCTTTTCGGCTGGCGCTCCCGTGCTCCGCACACTTTTGCTCCCGACTGTACATTGCAGTAGCGATAGATTGCATCCTTATTATCGCGCTAAGTGGTACTATCGGGGAAAAATGAAATGAGAACAGAGGAGCGCGTGGCTCGCGGTACAGGCTGCGCCGCCTGGAAGTGAACCTAGGGGCGAGGGTGCGTGGCCTACTTCGATGTGTTCACGCCCCTTGATTGGCGCTCCCCCAGCTTCGGCAGTGCGCCTCTCAGTGCGCTGAAAGCTGTCACCGCTATCTTTGCCTGCTCGGCGAGTGCAGCGAGCTTCTTTGCACCAAACGCGCTGAGCCAGCAAAGATAGCAGTGATAGCTTTCAGCGCACTAAGAGGCGCACTGCTGAAGCTTGGGGAGCACAGAGGGAGGGGCGTGAACGCGTCGGAGTAGGCCACGCACCCTCGCTCCTAGGCTCACTTCCAGGCGGCGCAGCCTGTACCGCGAGCCACGCGCTCCTCTGTTCGCATTTCATTTTTCCCCGATAGTACACATCGCGAGACTGATAGTGCGAGCATGGCATTGGCGCTTTTGGCGCTATCTTCGAACAGCAAATTGAACAACGCAAGGTTTCGCCACCCAGTTTGGCTCCCCCAAACAGTTCTTTTCAAAATATGCGTAGTTTTTGCGATAGGATTTTAAGTGTCAAAATAAAAGTGGAATAACCGACGATGGTTTCCTCGTGCTAACCACTCAAGGACTTGAATAGAAATAATAAACGAATAAACGATGCATTTGCGACACATACCTTGTTTTCATTGCTATCGTTGACGCCATTTGGCTTGCAGTGAGGGACACAGCAATTGCATGGCGTTTAGCCGGTGGAAAAAGAAGATGGCGGAGCACACCCCAGCGCCCACCAACCCTTCCAGCCGCTATTCTCGACCTCACAAGACGGCGGATTTAGTTCTTTTCGCGCCTAGTAGATGGCTCCGCGCATTTCGTATATCTAAAGCTCCTTGATAAAAGTGTTTTTTACGCGTATTGCCAACCATTGTTGTGGAAACGCAAAACACACGAGCCACGAGCGGGCGGGTGCTCCGCCTCCATTCGCCTCCAAGGGCCGCTTATTTCAGTGCTGCGCCGCCATTTGCTTCCAAGGACGGTTCGGGGCATGAGCCTCGTGCACTGGCGTGTTTGACGGTACTTGCACGATAAACGCAAACGCATCGAGGGGCTTTACGTACATCTTCTTTTGACGGCTATGACTATTAAAGGCAAGATAAATACAAAGATCTAAAGGTGCAATAGTTATTATTGAGATATTAATTGATCAATTTTACGTCTTTAGCCCCAGTTGAATAGTGCACGCAAAATGGGCGTCAGCCCTGCCTACATTCACGCTTAGTAGAGTGACGTGTCATTTCAGTCGCTTCGACCCACTATGCTTCGTCTCATCCTATATGCTGGACTAAGGGCCAAAGTTGCGGGCCGCCAGGTCCAATCACGTTGCACGGTAACTATGACATGCTTAACATTGATTAAGGATTGACGAATAAGGCTCCTAATCGAAATTCGCTGCATCATTTCTATAGCTTCGACACAGCAAAGAGCCTGTATGTCGTGGCTTTCTTTACAATGTAAAATTTATGAGCCACTTAGTAACGTTCATCTACTACTACTAAGCGTTGTTATGTATGAAGAGAATAAAAATGGGGGGGGGGGGGGGGGGGGGAGAGAGGGCTAATGCTCATCGAAGCGAAATACCAGGCAATTTCTAAGTGGCTCGTGATTGGATCTTGTAGTTCGTAGCTTTTGCCTTTAGTCCATCGTAGGATGGGACGAAGTATAGTGGTCGTCAGCTCACCGACGAAGAACACACTGCCGAGATAGTGAAAACGTGACTGAAACGGCTACGCCACTCCTCCAAGCGACATTGTGGGCAGAGTTGCATCACTCTTTTTGCGGGTAATTTTGAAATTGGGATAAAAACGTGAATATTGATAATGTAATATCTAAAATCTGATACAGTATTGCTACACATGTCCATCGTTCTGTCCTGAAATAATAATTGCCGTCAATACTGCATTTTGAACAGCATCCCTAAAACAAATATTTAAAATAAAATAGTTAACAAGTTTTAGTTTTACACTCCAGCTTATCATGACGATTGTTCGCTGCAATTTGAACATTACCCATAAAACAAATATTAAAAAAAATTGTTAACATGTTTCAGTTTTACAATCCAACTTATCATGACGATTGTTCGCTCATCTAGTTTCCGTTCAGCTTGATAAAAACACGGCGAAGATGGCACTCGTCTAACCTTCACCCGTTTTTTTTATACAAATATATGTTCGGGTTCAAAAAGAAGTGCCCTGTATATACGGCTCGCCGGATATACAGTGTGTTCATCAGCAACTCAAAATACTTAAAACATACAGTTAAGATATATAAATGCTTGACTAGAGGGCAAAGTGAATTCAACGCAATTATCTTTAGATAGGCTGTATGTGAGCACCCTATTTTCGGACTTTAGTAGCGTCTCAGTGCATAGTCCGCTAAAGAAAAATTCTGATTCAATACAAAAAAAAAAAGGTTTTCCTTGAATAGTACGCACCTGCTGCATAGTTCACACCCGGTTCACAGTTCGCACCTGGTGTCAAATAAGCGGGTAAAAAATCTCCTAGACAGTACACATCTTACAAATGCCTTCTTTAAAAGCTCAGGAAGAATGTTGCATTATACACAAATCAACATTAAACTATTCTTCCATTCACAAAACCCGTCACGTAGCGTCATAAAAAACGACCAAGAAGAAACAAATATTTGCATAGTCTGTACCTGTATGATGGTCCGCAGCGCGTAACATTTCAACTGAATAAGTTCGTCGTCTATAGTCTAAAAAATATTGTTTATATTTAAAGTGAAAAACCCCCGAGATATGCAAATTATGGATATTTGTGTGTGTCGATGTTCAGTAATTTTGTGGTTGTTGTCGTTGTTTTTTTGTGTTTTTATAGATGCCTGCAGTTTCTTTGAACTATTCGTTTCTGAATGTTCTGCACGGCTTGGATCTTAATCGCGACATTCAGGAACTTCTAACTTTACGAAAACCATATAAGAAAGAAGATGAGTGAGTACTGTCAATGCTTGTTTTATTTGATTCATTTGTTTCATATGGATATCACTCTTATAGAGAGTTACGATTCTTCTATGAAACTGTCCAGGTGGGGCACAGGTGCAGCAGTGGTAAATGCGTTTTACAATCCACTGAATAACGACATCAGTAAGTACCCAAAACTAAAAATAAATTCCAGAGCAGTAGACATCCATTTTGGATTTTCCCTTTTTCTTCCCTAGGCTCATAACAGTTATCGCGGTACACTAGATCAGGTTGTCAAGGCACCTCTCAAAGGAATATTTTATTGCCTTGTGGGTTTGCCTAGAAAACCGTGCGAAACGATACTGAAATTACGCAGGAGCAGCTTATAGTAGCTTGATATATTGTTTTTATATTGATTTATTTGAAAATACTATCAACACTCTCTTGAGTGACATTACACAGAGGGTATCCGTTACAAATATGCACACATCAATGCAGGGAGCGGTTGACAATTAACACATATCGACACGTACGCAGTACAAGCTTGTGACTTTAATAGGTTAACAGCTGAGTGATTAATGTTCAAAGGCTAAGGTGCCGTTTCTACACACACGATTTCGTTCGGCAGTCGGCTCCTGGTTTCAATCGTTCTTACAAGAAAAAAAAACTCCTTGAAAATGTAGATTCGACTGTAGGATGTTTGAATAATTTTGGATTGGTGTAATCTTCCTGATCCTTCTTACGTTCTGGGTGAATATATGTATTTGGGGTAAAACTAATCTTGCTGTTAATAATTTTAAAAAGTCATATTAAGCGCTAAATTTCTCGCCTTGTCTGAAATGGTTGTAGAGTGCTTGAGTGGATCATTTCTGTAGAAGATGTCATCCTCGTGTAGTTGGAGTGAATAAAGCCAGAAGCTTGTCTTTGTATCTTTTTTATCAATTTATCAATATTTTGGTGTAAGGGTACCATATATCACAACTATCTTCTAAGATGGGTGTTATGTATGTTTCATACGAGCCAGATTTAACTTATCTGGTAGCGTGATTTAATTTGTTTATGAGCACGCATAGTTTCCTCTTTTTAAGCAGGCGGTATCAATGCGTTTACTCCACGTAAAATCTTTTGGTAAGGTAATTCCAAGATACTTGAATTCTTAACTATCCCCAGTTCTTTGTTACCATAAAAATATTGGAACAAAAGGAAGCTACTCTTTTTAGCAATATGGGCATATACGAACTTTACAAAATGTTTTTTTTTATATATTACGTGTAACACCATTCCTCAATGCGGTCAAGACAAATATTTAGTCATGTTTGTTGTTACGGAGAGCTTACTGTTGAACAGGTAATACAATCGTCCTAAAAGCGTCTGACGTGAAAGTGACTGCATCTTAACGGGGTTCTTTCGCCATGACTGAAAATTTTCATCAAAAGTATCACCATTTTTAGTCCCCGACTTCATTTTTCAATTTTGCAACTAGGTAAACCTTCCTTTGCGTTCTTATGTACATCGAGTCACATTAGTTTTATCATTCTCATTAGAATATTGAACTGCGCGAATCTACCGAAGTTTCCAGGGGTTTTTGTTTATGCTTGGCGAGTTTTCGTGGTCACAATTGTTGTGTAACTTCATAATTAACTAAATATTAACTTTCAAACTTTAAAAAAATTATTCATTCAACTTAAGTTTTCTTATCTATACTTGCAATTTAGCATTCAGTTTTGCATTTAAATTCTTAGTTAGGTTTATTCATTTAGTTTTTCTTCATTTATAATCCCTCTTTTTCGTTTCCGTCTTCAAGACTGTGGAAGATTCCTAATCCGGCCCCTCAGTCAAAAACTGTGAAGACTCCTGGTTTAGTATAGTAAGATTGAATCCTGTTAAGAATAATCTGATTGTAGTCCAAGGCAATTTAATTTTGATAGTTTTCTGCGCGGTATACTATGAAACGCTTTATAAAAATGTATGTAAATGACATCGACTTTTTTTTTTATTTGGTGTAAATGCAATACCATGAGTGGTTTTAACCAGTTTAAGGATTGTAGACAAACTCACCGGCAAAATAATTACTGGTTTTTGAGATTGACACTAGGAGTTGCCGGGAGTCTTTTTGGTTGATTCACTGCCCGGGACTACCGTTAAGCGTTTCTTAGATAAACGTGTTTTCGAAGTTTGAGTAGTCATAAACGTTAGACTTAATTGATTCTATTAAGTTTATTATCAATATAGGGGTAACATAAGTGTTCTTAACCCTGTGCTTATCCAATGTACTGAACTAGGTTATATGGTCACATGTGACTGAGAAGAAAGCTTAAGTAAAGCCCCGAGAGGCCGCTCTTTCGCCGGAAATAGTTTGGAAAAACAAAAGGCGGATTTTTCCACATTTTATACCTGAGAGATTGTAGTTCCGTTAAACACTACTCGTTCATAAACGCAGTTAAGTTTGGCTTTATAAGGTGCATTGTATACTTATTATGTTTCATTTTGCTCACTAAACGGAAAGTGTAATTTAGTTATTATGCATTCCAACAATAATTTGCAACACTGGAGACTACCAATTTCCTTTTAAATGTTAAACGCAATTTTCGCGCTGAACCATTATTTGTAAGTTGTTTATTTTAAGTCCATTTTACTTTTGCTTCGAGCCTTTTCAAATAAAAGTGGGCCAAAAAATTATGCTCTAAATTCCCTTATTCGTTGTTTTATATTAAGGGACACAAATCTTGGGGGCAAAGAAAAATAAAAACAAAAACGACTTTTAGATCTTTTTTTTTTAGGTTCTTTATGCTCTCCCGCATCTAATGTTAAACTTTTAACGCCGAATAGCGCCTTTTTATGATAAAAACTAATATTTATCAGCTTCAAATATGAGGCCCGCTCGGAATAAATGCACAAAAAAATGCCCCTTTTTGCTTCATCAGTCGTTCCGAAACCGATCGTCGTGGTGCCGCCATTTTGGTCTCATTCGAAAGAGCGTTTGCTAGGTTTGCTTTCCCGCCATCCCTGAACGCTCAACATCGCCGGTAAGCGAAATATAAAGCAACAACCAAAAGAATACAAAGCTTCGCTGTTGGTTCTTAGCGGACATGTGACAAAATGAATCCTTCTTATTTAAGCATGGCGACTTCCGGAAACTTCAGGTCCACACGTGGACGGCGCCATATTGCAAAAATCATCGCTACGCCAGCTTCACGCTATGCCTAACGAAGAACGTCAGAAATTTTGAGCCGTGCATAAATTCAAAAAAAGAGACACAAACGTACGACGAAACGGCAAAAAGAACCGAAGGCATCAGCGTCGACGACCTGGGGCGCCTCCGTAACGATGGGACGCTCGCCTTCGGCAGCACGCGTGTCGGCAAGCGAGAGTCACCGCAGCGAAGGTTCCCGTTCCCGGAATCGAAGGCAATCCTCCGAGCCGCACGAGGATCGACTCGACGTTTCTTTCGAATGCTGATCGTGAAGCATGTCAGCGGCAAACAGAAGAAATCACTGCGCAACTGTCATCAACATCGGCGAAGGAGCCCAAGATGAAGTTACTCGCGACTCAGTCGGAGGCGGCGATGTCGAATGCTAGTTCGTCGGCCGCGACGTACACGACTATCGATCTTGCTGCAGTAAACAGTTTATTGGAATTTACTTCACGCCGCGTGTTCCGCGGAGCAGTGGACATTGAAAGGGAAACGCGCGAGTTCGGAATAGCCGTGAAGCTGAGAATGCAGCGCAGCAACTGCGGAGATCTCGGAACCGAGTTGTGCTCGCGACGAGTCGGGGGAGAAGCGAACTGTAACCCCTTCGCAATAGATATTCTCGCGGCTCGTGCCATGCAGAGCAGCGGAAACGGACAGGCAGCTCTGAATGACATCTTTGCTGATCTTGGCATCTTCCAGAGAGGTCTCCATGCCAAGACGTTCTAGCATTATTTGAAGACAAAACTGCACCCGGCGACAAAAAGGGCGTGCAAGGAGACCCTCGAGAAGTGCGCCAGATCAGTGAAGTAGGTGTACAAGGAGATGAACTTTGAAAACCCGAGCAACATCGGCGTTAGCTTTGACGGCACCTGGCACACAAGAGGACATTCATAGCGTGTTGGAGTAGCCACAGTCATTGAACTTTTCTCGGGCTACGTGCTGGACTTTGTCGTGTTGTCTAACGTTTGCCTTGGGTGCGAGTGTGGGCCAGAGCCCGGAAGCTCAGAATATGCCGAGTGGAAGGCTCAGTATTTGTGCCAGAAAAACACTGAATGCAAGGCAGGCCAGATGGAGGTCGAGGCAGCCCTGATCCTGTTTCAGCGCTCGCTTTCCCTACACGACCTCCGGTACACAGCGATGCTTTGTGGTGGCGATAGTAGGTCGTACCGCGCGCAGTGGAAGAAGCCAATGTGTACGGCTTTATTGAAGCAGAAAAAGAAGATTGTACAAATAATGTGCAGAAGCGCATGGGAACTGCACTCCGCAACCTCGTGCAGAAGCTCAAGTCGGACGATGGAGGGCGCATCAGCGGCAAGGATCGGCTCACTGGAGACTTTATCACCAAGCTCACCAGTTATTATGATTGGGCGCTCAAATCACATGCTGGTAATGTGAACCAAATTCACTCAGTGGTGATGGCCACATACCACCAGATAACTTCAACCGACGAGAGGCAAGACCACAGCCTGTGCGCAAGCGAGACAAGCTCGTGCTGCAAGCATAATGCCGCGGCTGGAAGAGATGAGCCCCCACCGAAGCACATATACAACCTCCTAGACAATGTCAGCAACTCAGCGCAGCACTACCACCGGTATATCAGGACCTTGCTGATAAAAAGCTGATTCAGCGCTGTCAAAGGGTCAAAACACAAAATGCGAATAAGGCACTGCATTCGGTGATTTGGAGCTTGGTGCCAAAGCAGACGCATGCTTCATTGTTAGCGGTGGAAACGGCAGTTGCATAAGCCATCATGCGCTTCAACCTCGGGAAGCAACAGGCAACCTCAAGCATTCTTCGAGAACTGCATCTGAATCAAAGCAGCAAGAAGAGCCAGCGAGCAGTTGAAAAGGGCTTCCATTGCACTTCGAGGGCCGGGAAGAAGCATGCTGCCTCGGCAGCATTTCAGACTGTCGCAAAACGCAGGCAGTGAGGGAAGCCTCATAGTGATTACTCTCCAGGGGCATTCTAAGCCAGAATGTGCTCAGAGTGTGTGTTTTGCTGTATATTATCTTGACTTTTTATGTGGAAATTTGTTTTAACTTTTTTCTCAAATAAAAATTTGGTTTCCTCTCAGATATTCTGGGAAGCGTACCTTCATTTCTACTCATTGGATTTTGATCATTCTTTTTTTGACTGACTGCTGGATGTTCAAGGAGCGCAATAAGGGTATTACGTAACATCTAAAAAAATGATAACAGTTTCGAAATATATACAAATCAAGAAGAAACTTGCACTTGTAAAGCGGCAACTTTGAACTACCGTAACTTTGGTTCAAATGAAAATACAAACATGAAACCACCCTTATTGCAATCCCTTAGACATTTTGGGAAAATAGCCATGTTTTTAGGCTTGTCTGTTACAAATATTTTTCCAGCCTTCCTGGAATTTTCGAAGGACATTATATGTTTAAAAGTTTTTATATCTGGTCTAGACAAAAACTTGCTGTTTATTTGAAGTCCCAAAACCAAATCACAAGTAGTCTGAAAGTCATATATTTGTGGCTAAATAATAAGAAAGTTTCGGTCAAGCCGCAAGTGGGCCCTTAATAACAGGGTGTCAGAACAAAACAAGAACTAAAAAAAAATAAAACAAAAAATAATACTTTCGGACGGAACTAAATTGTAATCGAAACGTTAGTTATTATTTTGTTCCAGAGTCAAACCAAAAAAACTTAGCGTTCTATTTGGTTTAAGCAAAAAGTTCAGGCACTTCAGTATTCGCTCCACGCAGCGAGGAAAGTGAGAGCCGTCTGTAAGTGGCAGATGTCACATGAACCAGAACATGCTCTCAAAGCGTTTTTCAAAGAAAAAAAAGCTGAGGTTGACGCTTAGCTTTATTTGACAAGCGAGGTGGGCCGACTGGACATGGCATGCTTGTTGGAGGTCCTTGATAAGGTGCGACGCCTTCGAAGAAGCAAAAATGTATTGATATCTTGGGAAGAACGAATGAAACGCCAACCGCAACTGCACACTTGAGCGCATGTAGCCTATGAGTACCAGCCACACAGGTCAGTGTGGAGCAGGCGTTCTCGGCGCTGAAATTTACTTGACTTGAACGGAGGTATTTTATCTCATCAACTACACTTAATGGCGTGCTTCTTCTGAGATCCCCCTTGGCTGCTTGAGTCATTCTTCCTCGCGATGTTTTTCAGCCGAATTCTTCAATTTAAAATTTTTTAATAACTAAGCACTTGCTAAAGCTTCTTAGCGACCAGCGTTTTATAAAACAAACGTTTCTTTTTTTTTAATCGTAATTTTGAATATATAGATATATCTTTTTTTTTTTTTTTGCACGTGACCACGAACCTTTACGATCCGTTACGGACCATTATTTCTTCATTCCGGAGCTCAACCGGAAGGAAACGTTTTTCTATATAAAAAAAAAAATTGGAAAAAAATACATTTGTAGTGGGGAGTTCTAGATACCTCGTAATTCATGTCGTAAATGCATGAACTTTCTGAATACCTTTAATCAATATTTCCTAAATTCCCTACAGATCCTTTTGCATTCATCTTCTGAATTCACTACGGATCATTTGCATTTATCCTTTCCAGAAATGTTCTTACTTTTGCATTTGTGAGAATTTTAACGAACACTATCTACTTAGTGCTTCATTGGTTGTTCTTGGTCAATGCTGAGGTCAAACATACCTCCTATATTTCAGCCTTCCCTGCTGGAATACTTCAGCCGCCATTTTTTCAAGACGGTGTGCCTTCGTAAGTGGATTTATGAATTCAATTGAGTGTGTTCGCAAACTTATTTCCTATAATACGAAAACGTGTCGGCCACTGCAGCAGCACTGTTGTAAATGTAGTTATAACTGAAAACACAACTATTCGAGATTGGTACAACAAATATTGAGGTTGACACGTTTAAGAAGACGGCATTCTTTTGCCTCAGAACAGCGCACACAATACCATAAATCCAAAATAAACAAAAATACATAGAAACAATTCAAGCCTATATTGAAAAGTATCTAAAATTAGTATGAAAGCAAACGAAATCTCATTTAATTTATGCTTTATTTTTCATCGTATATCCCTCCAAGCTCAAGACACTTGCTCCAATGTTTCTCCAGTTTCCCCATTCTCTCTGAGAAAGGACTTTCTACTAGGTCCCCAGAAAAAACAATTGACAGCCTCAGTGGCCCCTTTCATCGCCATAAAGTGTTTTTTTTTTTTTTTATTTAGTCATGAACTTTATGAGTCTTTGGGCCAGGTGGAAGTACGAGGAAGTCACTTGAAGGGAGTATAGTGGATGCGCAAGGGTTTTGAGCTTCAACTCCGTCAATCCTTGCTTATCCTGAAAAAATGCTAAATCCAGCTAATTTTCTCCGCATTGCGGAGATGAGATACCCACATTGCACAGAGGTTATTTTTATCCCAATATGTAAACTATAGATAGGGTTCCGTGTGTTCGGTATATATTTTTCTTGAAATTCGGGGGTTATTTATCGGTGTCTATATTAAAGCGTTCCTGACTGTCCACCCCGCGTACGATTCAAGTACTGTACAAAACAGCCGAGAAATGTCACTAAAGCATTTTACTTAATCGCAAGAGTCTGAACCTGAAACCGGCGCTGATTAGCTCCCTAGCTCGTGGATGCTGTCACTCCGTCTCTGGTCGGCCAGCTCGTTTTTCTCGTGCCCTAGTTCATCCTTCTTTTTTTTTTCAACCAGTGGCCTCTCGGATTTTTCAGTGTTCATAAACTTCAAATGAACACGTGTGATAAAAACCTCCGGCGGTCGGACCGGGAACACACCGCTACAATATCTTTCCTTTGAGTCGGTGTTTTTTGGTGTCTTATTTCAATTCCGGAGAGAAATCGCTGTTTATCTGGCTTGTGTTGTATAGCGAGTGCCTAATTACTAGAGAAAATAATATAATTTATAAGTTATAAATTATAATATTTTCTCCTGTAATGCTGGTAAAGATAAGAGAAGGGAACGGGACAATGAATGTGGTTTAATAGTTCAGTGCGGTTGTATTCCGAGTTAATAAGAACAAATTAAGAAAGGTAAAGTAGAAAATCTATTTCCGAAAAAGTGGCTCTTTTTCCCCTTCAAAGACTGCTAATATTTGGGTTTTTTCGGCCTTCACCGATTCGGAGAAAACCTCCTCGGGGGTACATTTTGGTATTTAACCGTGTACGCCGAAAACACGGAAGCCTAAGTAAAAACAACTCGTACATAAACGCTCCATCACAGGTTTCATAATTTTACGAACTTATATTTGGCGAGTTTTAAAACATGTTATGCATTTTGTTTACAACCTCTTGCGTGACAGCCGTTTTTGAACGTCCTGAACGTGGTTCGTCACTTGTGTGTTTCCGCCCATTCTTGAATAGGAAACCCAAAACCTCACGGTGGAAAATGAAAGGCCTATTTTCCCAAGAGCATAATCTAACCTTGATATGATTTCCTACCGCAATTTTTCTTTCACACAAAAAATATGACCGATCGAACTTCTTTTTTAATAAATATTCAAAATCCACAAATATTGTCAACTCAACAATATTACAGTATATGAAAAAAGGCGTCCTCCTAGGGGCGATTATGGAAACATTTGAATTAAGTCTGAGACAAGAAAATATCCTGCTGAAGCTCTCAATTTCATGAAAATCAGCTAGCCGTGTTCGTATGGATAACCAAATTGCTTGAAAGATATGTCCACTTATTAATCCTGAGAGATATATAGTATGAATCAAAGAGCACTGAATAAGCAGAGAAGATACTTGTGCTTTAAAGGATGAAACGCTTCGGAACCCCCAATCCCCAATTTTTCTTACGTCAGTTCGTCCATCAGTGAATTTTCCGCTAAATTTAGCGGGGAAGAAAATTGGTGTTTAAGTCATGTGACGTCGATTGACGTCACGTGATCTGTACACCAATTAAGTTTCCCCGCCAATGTCCACGGGGATATTGATGTCACGTGACCTGACGTCAAGTGACCTATACACCAATTCAGTTTCCCCGCTAAATTTTGCAGGATTATTGACGTAACGTACACCAACTCAATTCCCCCTCTAAATTTGGCTGGGAAATTGATGTCACGTGACCTAAACACCTACAGTTTCCCCGCTAAAGTTAGCAAGGAATTTGACGTCAAGTGACCTGACCACACTTGACACCTCAACACAATTTTCCCGCCAAATTTAGCAGATAATATGACGTCACGAGGCCTTCACACCAATTTGTTTTTCCCACTAAATCTAGCGGGGAAACTGACACCATGTGACCTAAACACCCAATCCGCGCCCTCCAAAGTACTTGGAATATTGATAAAAACAAAGGTTGTTCACCCCTCGAAACTATGGTTTAATGTCTGCTAAATGATTTTAAAAGATAACATTGTAAATTATGCATTTTGAGCCTAATTTTGTGGGAACGAACTTTAGGTGAGGAATGTGAGAGCGCTCAGTGACTCGTGTTACATGAGCCTCTTGCTTTACATTCGGAATGCTAGCAGGATTCGACGAATATGGCCCCGATTAAAATCTATTCTCAAGAATGTCTGATATAAACTGCGAAAGAATATACTTTGATTAAGGTACTTACTCATGACACGCCAGGCGTTTAAAATAATTTCGAGATCTTTTTCCCAGCGTTTTAATGATTCGAAACACGGACAATTCACCTGCAACGTGTATCGACGTTTGTCAAGGATCGGTAGCAGTTCTGTCAGTTTTTTTTGTTTTTTTTAATAGAGAAAGGGCTCAGAAGGACTCTAGATCAAATTTCTACCTTACTTTAAGGTTAATACAAAATATATTTGCCGTGACTTTTTTTTTTTTTACCGAGCTTACGTGACATCATAATCTGGTTATGGCTAGCTTGAATGCACGAGTTCGCCAAACTTCTATGGAAGACCGAAGGCAGTGAGTTGATAGTTTTCTGTCACCCTTTAATTGGGCGCCATTTCGCATTAATTTCTCTGATTCTCGCCAACATATCTCCCCATGGCATACATTTTAGGAATTTTACTTGGGCTACTCAATATCATCCTTAATCTAGTCCAGGGTCTGACAAACGGCGGTTCGCGAGCCGCATGCGGCTCCTCGCAGGTCCAAGCGCGGTTCCCGGCTCCCTGGTAAACGGGGCCACCTTCCCCTCCTGTGTTCCCAAGACGAAGGAGTTCTAGAATTTAAAAACGTTCAGCCTTGGCAGCTTTGTTCTACCCTACGTACACAGAGATGGACTTCTTTTTGACACAGAGATGTGTCCCGTGACCGCGTTTTTTTTTTATTGCGCTAGAAATCATTTCGAACTGCATACGGATAACGGGCGTCAGGGACAGTAGCTGGCTAGCGAACCGCGCATTAATTTTTGCTTAGCGGTTGAAGAAACGTTCTGACGCTTGGTGTTATTTCTTGTAGTCCACAATTAATCCTCTCCCCTTAAGAAATGAGAGTTTCTTCGATTTCGCTTCTTATTAGAAGTAGCCCCCCTTTCATTTTTTTTCCTGCGACATTCTGAACTTCTGTAATTTCGTCTGCGGCTCCAACCCCATGTCACACTGGCCACTTTTGATTTAGTCCATGCGTCTTTTTTTAATCAACGTGGGAACGGATCTTTTTTTAATCATCGTGGGAATTGTATATTATTTTATTGTTTCTGTCACAGGATACAGCAGCTGCGCAAGACAGCACAGCGCAAGAGAGTAGTGCGTACATTGTGAGACAGCAGTTAAGATGAAAATGGACCATGGATCGGAGCTTAATTCTTTATACACTGGGTGTTTTAGCCAGCTTGTCCCAAGACTTAAGAAAAGTTGGTCCACGCTACGCGTGCCGAACCAAAGCAGTAATCTTTACAGTCATATGAACAAAGTAAAGATATATTTTGTGTTAAGTCAAACTGGCTAATTAACACGAATTAATTACCTAACTTTTTAACAATAATTAGCACGCTAACCTATTAATACAAAAACTTTAGAGCGTTTTGAGTTACAGCCCTGTGAAGATGGTTATTTTACTAAGGATTGCGCAAGGAATCAAGGAAGAAGGCTGTAGATAATCACCACTCAAAAATAATAGACAAGACTCGGTCAAGAGAAGAAAAGTCTTCTATCTACAATCGAGGTATCTTCAGAAATGCCTAAGCCAAAAACCCTCTCGTGACTGACCCGCCATCTCAACCTCCTTAACCTTAGCCTCCTCTAAACTCACAAAGCCTTGCAATTCGACGACAAAGCCATAGAGCGTTCGGTCGCAGATTTGGAACGAGAGGATCTGGTAGCGCAGAGAATTTCTCGGAAAACCTGGTAGTCAGCGCACAGCTTTTTCAGCGGCGAGGACCCGGAACTGCTTTTCAAACCCGACGAAAAAAAGAAGCGGTAGCGCGAGGAACTCGAGGCGCACGAGGGGATATTCCATCGCTCGGGAGAAGTGTGTTTCGGCGTCTCGCTGCAGCAGGGTGCCCGTCACGTGGCTCTCCTCTCATCGTGGCGATCTGCCAGGGTTTGTTAGTATAGAGGAGGCTATGCCTTAACAGATGAATCTCACGCTAGCCAGCACGAGCGCCGTCAGTTCACACATACACCGGGAAACACGAGCAAAGAAAAATACGTAAACCAGGGAGCACGAGCGTGGTTCTCATTCTTGTGTCCCTTCACGAGATAGCGCGGCTGATTCTCACAACTCCGTTGTGTCGTGTCCACCAAAGTGGCTCTGGTGTGTCTATTTTAGAGCGCAGCTCTTAGGGGCCCGTTTCAGGCTTGAGCGGCGTCGCTGTCGCCGTCGGCGTCGGCGTCGGCGTAACCGCGCGGTACATTATGGGACGCGTGATGTCACCGGTGACAACATTGATGACGTCATCCTAATCGTCATCGTCATCATCACTGATGACGTCACACGTGACGTCATTACTTACGATGACGATGACATGACCCCCGTGAGGTCACGTGACCCCGGTGACCTCACGTGACCTCCTTGAGGTCACGATGGTCACGTGACCTCACGGTTACGCCGACGGCGATGGCGACACCGACGTCGCTTGGAGGGAAGAGCAGCAGGCTGGACGAGGAAGTGAGGAGGAGGGAGGAGGGGGTATACGCTCCCCTCAGTACCCGTCCCTCCTGCTCCTCAAGAGCTGCGCTATAATTCGGTGTTACAGGGGGCTGTAAACGGCTTTCATTCTTTTTCTTAAGCCCTAAAGGAAGCGCGCGAGATTTGAAGAACCTGACGTATCTAAGAGCACTAATATCGCAGTTCGCTAGAGGGTAGTCACGTAACATTCTCTTTAAATGTCGAGTGCCTTTTATTTTCTTCTTAAAATAAACAAAAATTGGATACACAAAGTTTACCTTTATGTAAATTACACAATGAGACATTTCTCGACGCTTTCTACAACATTGGTATGCGAAGGTTTGCAAACAAGGTAATACTTAGAAAGCTAGTTAATTCGTTTGCGTTAAGTAGCCAGTTACCACAAAAAATGGATTGACTTGCTCAATGCCCTAGTGAAAAAAGTCATTTGTATGAGAACTTTCTTGTGTCCAATAAACACATATGAATCATAAAAGATATATAAGAACATATAAGAAGCATATAAGAACTATGTAAGAACTATATAAGAACTATATGAGATATTTAAGACCCATATGAGAACTTATAAGAAACTCCGTACAAGTTTCTTATACGGTGTTTCCATGTTCTTATATATCTCATATAGTTCTTATATAATTCTTATATGGTTCTTATATGTTCTTATATATCTTGTATGATTCATATGCGTTTATTGGACACAGAAATTTCTCATACAAATGAGAATTTTCAGTAGGGTAGAACTGTGAGCAACACTGCATCTGTTCAATATGTGTAACAGATTTTTCTAAATAATTGTGACAAGTTAGCTAAAACATTACATACAGCAAGCGCCCACACAAAAACTTTTTGGAGAACCGTTCACTTACATCACGTCTCCTGTATCTTTTTTTTTTTTTTACTAGTTTAACAATGAGACAGCCACCTTACAACGTCACATCCCCAATATACCTTACGCCTTTGCCGCGTACCGTGTACTGTAAAATTCTTTGTATTTGCGTCCCCTGTTATTCGAGAATCTGTCACGAAGGACATAAACACGGCCACTAAATATCGCGAATTCCAGACGCTTGCATTGAAACTGTTCAGGCCCGATATTCTCTTGTGCTCTTAAATTTCGCGAATTTCTTTAATTCCGCGAAATTGAAGGGCTTGCGAACATCAAAGGTTTTACACTATTCTATTCGCGTTACAATAACCTTAAATTTATAATACAAAAATTCTACGAAGCGGCACTTTTCAAATGCCTGTTGGGAGCGACCGAGGCAGCGTCTTCGGAAGTAATTGTGAGAACGGTCCTCTTCTTATGTACTGTTAGATCATTGGATTTCACACCCTTCTTCGAAACACCATGCCTCTGAGGGCCCTCTGGGAGGTTCTTGAAGTTAGATAGTTACAAAAATATATTTACTTCAATGTCACATCCTAAAACTGCATGACTTCAATCTTGCATAACAAAGTTTAAGTGTGTTTCCAGATGTGCGTCTAATGTTGTTTTTTTTTCTATTTTTCAGATCAATCAACATGGGTGCTATTGGGATGGTTATAGGTCATGAACTTACTCATGGGTTTGACGATGGTGGTAAGTAGTCATTATATTTGTTTTAAACTTTAACGCACCGTATCTTCTGGTGTATACTCCGCGGACTATACATGTTTAAAAGTTGCTATTTTACCCGGTGCCTACCATCCACCTCCCCCCCCCCCCCCCCCCCCCCCCCCCCCCCCCAGGGACGGACTATACACTCTAAAAAAGCCGTGCGTCTACTTTCTCGCACAACACTCGGAGAGGAAATCACCGCAACACTTCGGAAGCAGCTCAGCGAATGACGATGCCAAAACATATGTTTAGATCAAAAAGCGCAGCCTGAGTTTTGGCATTAAGAAATGCAAAACGTCACGCTTGTATTGCGGTTCTTGGTCTAAAAATATTTTTCGCCATCGTCATTCGCCGAGCTTCCTCCCTAAGTCAGTGACTGGCTGACCGAGTGTTGTGCGAGAAAGTAGGTGCACAGGCTTTTCTTAGATTGTACGTTACTCCTATTTCCTTCGATAAAAGAATAATATTAAGACTGTAGGATGCTCATTCTACTAAGACAAGCGACCCATCTAAAAATGAAATACCACCGCCCCCCCTTCCCCTCCAACGTAAAAATAGGGTTTGCCTCTCCTTTAAAAAGTTCTTCTGACGCCCGTGGTATATTAATGGTGATTTATGTATGATAGAAGCTCCTTTGTGAACACTTGTACAGCTGACATTTGTGAAGAAGTGCTGAATATGATAATTTTTACGTTCTGACTGGGCACAAGTGCGAACTGTGCAGCCCGTGTGGACTATGCACCGTCTCTGGACATCTAAGGAAAAGCTTTTTTTTTTTCGGCTGAAATCGGCCTTTGCGGACGATTCACCCGGTGCGGAGTATAGACCGAAAAATACGGTTGTACAGTTCAGTTTATTCCTTATATCTAGCTCATACTTCGATAGGGCGATTGTTGAAGACCTTCACTCTAATAACGTTTGTAAAAAAAAACTCATACATTTATCAGCAGCTATCAAGTAAGCTTTACCTTAACTAAGAAAGCCCCCCCCCCCCCCATCCCCCCCGCCCCTCCACAAGCCTTGTTAAAAAACAAAGCGGAGGAGATGAACACCAAATGTTCAAATTATTTTTATTGTTTTATTATTTCGACCATATTTCTTGCCGGCATACCGGGTTATGAGGAATATAGCTCAGAAAAAACAGAAATATTGCACCATTTCGGCGAAGCGACGTTATGTTCAAATCAGGCTTTAAAAGACATCCTATTGCGATGCAGTTTAAGGCAGCTAACCGCTACAAGTATTTTTGGCGGTATGTCAATGATGACAAGATCACATCTTTCTCTCAATACGCCGGCGTAGCACATCGGTTAAAGTACTTTGAATGAGCCCGTGCATGTGTGTGAAAACGTTCTGACTGACTTGAATTTGTTTACTTCTTAAATCAAGATGGTCCAGGCCAGTGATTTCCCTACACAGCCTCTAGGAGGGGTGTACACCCTCCCCCCCCCCCCCTTGTTTTTCTGAAGACAGCCCCTTAATTCGCAAAGACTCCTCTATTCTCAACGCCCGGTAACCCCCCCCCCCCCCCCCCCCGCCCTTAAAAATTTACCCCCCCCCCCCCCTAATTTTAATTTCTGGAGAAACCCCTGCTCCAGGCACGCCTGATTAGAGTTGCCTTTACAGCGATAGCCTTTTGATAGCACCTTTACAAAGTTCCGAAGCTATCAGCGGAAATTGATCACACCCAAAGTTTCTTGAGAAAACTTGTTCGACGCGGACGCGATCTTCACTAGGTTCTACTCCTGGGCTACCTGCATCTTGACGGGGGCTATTCCTACGGGAACAAGCTGTCAAACATTTTCACCACCTGGAAGGCACTCTCGAGTATCTGGATCTCTACGGGCTCGGAAATTTCACTTTTTTCGTGCATGTGCTTGTACATCTTGTCGCTGTCGATGTTTTTCTTTTTAACACTTTCCGAGAGTTAGGACAGTAACACACACACACACACACACACTCGTAGAGTACGCACATGAGTTTTATACCTTAGCCCTACGTTTAAATAAACAGGAGCAACCGCCAGATAGCCAAAAAAAAAAGTTTTCGAGTAAAACTCGTCGACTTATTAGGCACTGGAAAAAATCAGCTGTCTGCACTAGGTCCTTACCTCAAATTCATTTTCTTCTCATTCCGCCTGTTGACAATTATTTAAATAGAGTCTAAACGCTCACCTGATCTCCGTATATCACCGCCTTCTTCCGAATAAGAAATACCGCCTACTATGATCAGCGTGACTTTAAAAACGAAGCGACTGCTGAATAGACGCACACGCGAACGCAGTCGGAAGCCAACGACAGCCGACGCCATTTTCTCAATGACGTCTGCTAATGAATACGCGGCAACGCTAGCTTGGGTTTCCGATCTAGGCTTCCAAAAAGACAACGCGTAACCAATATAGAAGAAAAGGTACGGTCTTCTGTATTGGGTACACCTATTGGGTGCGGCTTTCCTCTAACCTTTCCGCCCAAAATTCATCACTGGTAAATCCACATAGTGATGCTTAGCGTGTGCAAGCATCACCACCAATGCGTCTTGCAGCCTCTCATAACGAACGCGACACTAACACGCGACGATGCAAAGGCAGGCGCGTCAGCCGCTCTGCAGCGAGTCTCGTCGGGCCAGCCCCAAGCGGCGTGTTGCCGCTTTTTCCTGGCCAGACGATCGGGCCCCGCTCTCAGGTTCTACCTCAACACCTGCGCGTCCGGTATTGGCGAGAATTACCGCGCTGATTGCCGGAGACCGTGTTCGGAAGCTCAAGTGGGCCATTGCTCGATTCAGAAGCTGCGTTCGCGTATGCGCTTATTCAGAAGAGGCTTTGCTACCATGATGAAGGTGACTATAGCAGACAGACATTATTGTGTGGTAAGGAACTGAAGTGGGCAGAGTTTAGGTACGTGTTTGGGCTCTTTTGCAATTATTTTTTTGTTTAATGTGGCAAACGTTTATAAGGAAAGTTCGGAATTATGACGATTAAGATGTCTCCATGTTTCCTGCCCGTAATATTTTGACGAGCTGAAGAAGAGAAAACATACTTTTAGCTCGCAATTAAGTCTAAGCTTTTTTTATTGTGGCAATGTGGGGCTAAGCTACAAATGAGATAAAATGTTAATGCTTATGTTTATGCTCTGTCCACTTCTCCCACCAGGAAGTCAATTTGATGCTGATGGAGAGCTGCGAAACTGGTGGACCGAGAGCGCAGAGGAAGAATTTTTAAAGAGAGCTCAATGCTTTATAGACCAGTACGGCAACGTTACCGTAAAGGAAGTGAACTTGACAGTAAGTGACGTCCTAACATATGTCATCGCTAGGATAAAATATTCGTGAATCTTCCTGCAACAACCGAAGGAACACATAACATCTGGTTGACACCCGGTTGGGGTCGAGGCGGCCCCAGTCTGCCACCACGGTCTCACCGGACCGGGACCAGCAACTCCGCACAAGATGAAAATGGTTGGTCCTGGTCGGGAAGCAGAACCGAACCGGACCAGACCAACTGTCGTCGCGGCGTGATCCGACCGCCGGACGCTATAGCGAACGGCCGCGCGACAGAGCGCTCCTCAGCGAATACGGCATCGGCGGCGCCCAGCCACGGTGAACTCGAATGCGGCGATGTTCCCAGTGATTACGTGGGTATTTTACCAACGCTAGCTAACAATTAGTAGAGAGAAATTTAAAATTATCAAGGTCTGTGATGGAAGTAACTGAACCGGGAAGGTCCATTCTTGGGATGTACGAAAAAAAAAAAGGACGAATGAAATGTTGTTGTGTTAGCGCTCGGGATGCCAAGCTTGTGAGCAAGACGAGAGGAAACTTAAAGTGGGCGTACAATTAATTTTTTGTCGTAGTATAAAATTATAAAAATAAAATTTGTGAAATGAGGAGAGGCGTGAAATTTTCCGACGTAGAAATAAGGGTGGGAGCGATAAGGTTTGATATCACATTAATGAAACTAGATGTGTAGTGGTAATTAGTGAGTATGAAACGAGCAGATCTGTTTTAGGTGGCTTCCAAAGCATCAATCAGGAAGGCCTTACAGGGATCCCAGATGGATGCTGCATATTTTCATTTGGGTTGAATTAGGGTTCTGTACAAAATTAACTTCAAAGATACAGGTGCTAGTAAAAAATTAGTCCTAAGGTAACCTAACATGCTACTAGCATAGGGCGCGATGTACTGAATATGTGTTTTCCAGGAAAGGTTGTAATTTAAATGCACGTCTAAGTATTTGATGAATGCAAGAGCGTCTAAGTTCGCTTGGTTATAAACGTAGTTAGGATTTTCATAGGACTGACGGGACACGCTCATTGATTTGCATTTGTTGGAATTAAGGCACACAGACCGTGAGTCACACCACTGGACAATGTTGGGTATATCAAACTTGAGCACATAGCCGTCACTATGGTCAGTTATTTCCAGGTAAATCACACAGTCATCAGCAAGTAAACAGAGAGGTAAGAGGATGTGAAGTAGAAGATCGATAACCTAAACTAAGAATAATGATGGTCCTAAGGTGTGGAGCACCGGAACCAGCGGTAGCGAGAGATCCAGAATCATTGACAGTTACAAATTGAGAGCTGCTGGTTAAGAATTATTGAATTTATGTCAACTTTTTAAAGTCTATATTAAAGATCCACTGAAAAGAAAAAAAAACAGTCTCGTTGGGACAAGACTAACAAAAAAATTAATTTAACGCAAAAAAAAAAAAAAAGCTTAGAGCAGTATTGACGGCGAGATAAGTGATTTAGTCGGAAGTCACTTCTTTTCACCAGTTTTCTCTCTCGGCATTTCGGGCGCGTGGAGGAGAGCTGGATCGGCTTGGCCATCACGTTGATGTGGAAAGTGTGTATGACCATTCCGTGACGTTATTGACATTGCGCGCAAAATTTTAAATACATCTTGCGCCGTCAATATTAAACAAAAAATATTTTTTCGGGTAAAATGAATTTCTGGACACGCGTGTCCCAAATTTAAAATTTTTTTTTAACAGTTTGGAAAGAAAAATATTATTTTTTTATATTCAGTGGTTCTTTAAGCTTTGATAGTCTAAGAACCAGAAGTTTATAATAGACTCCATCGAAAGCTTTGGCAAAGTCCAAAAATATGTAGTCAGCCTGAGATCCTAGGTCTAATAATCAATGAAGGTCATGAGTGAGTTATAGAAGTTCAGTTTCACATGAAAATATCTTTCGAAACCATGTTCAGATGGGCTAATAAAGATGTTACGAAAATTGACAAGGTGAAAAAATATATGATCAAGAATTTTGCAGACAGCACTAGTAATGAAAGTCACCCAATAACTGAGAGGGGAATGTTTGTCACCTGTTTTGTAAAGGGGAGCCACGTTTGCTGCTTTTCACTCTAAAGGGAGAACAGACTCTTGCATAGAGTGTTCATTCAGTTTGGATAGTATAATTGATGAATATACGTCAGCATGTTTTTAGACTTACAATTTATTCAATCCACTCCTGCAAAAGGGGACAACTTTAACCTATCAGTATGATGTTCAACCCCAGCACAATATGGCAGAGTGGTCCATTCGCAAAAACTCAGAGCTACCCAGTACTTGGGACTCTTGGCTACTATCACGGGAGAAAGATTCAGCAAAAATGTATTCAAAACATTAGTACTCCCTTTCAACGGCATACTAGTGCCGTTCTCAGTTTCTAGCACGACTGAAGAATGAGATTTTTCAGACAATATTCCGAAATGGTTTGGGTTTGTTAATAATACTTTTCTTGTTGTTTGCGCTTAAAATTATTGAAACTTTGCATTGTCAATATCTTTTATAGATGCCTCAGCGGTTGTGCAATATTTTGTGCGTTGTTGTTTAAATCTGAATTTAGCAGCACTAAATAAACGTTTCTTGTTATTTGAGAGACGTTTGAGGGCTCTATTAAGTGATTATTATCATTATTATTACTATTAAGCTCCATAGTGACGGTGGAATTCTCAAAAACTGTTCTCACGGTTATGGACACATTGGTTTGTGATTTGACTTTGTTTTGAAACCACTGCCAATTTTATTCAGCTAATTCGTGGGGGGAACCCCACCACGAGATCGTTTAGAAATGTTGCTAGTTCATTCTTAGTATTCTCAAAGTCAGCTTTGGTATAATCTTGAAATAGGTTTGTGCGAGTGGACGGTTTGGGCACTGCAGTTCTAACATTAAAATGCATAAAACAGTGATCAGTAAGTCTTGGTAGATGTAAAATAGGTGAAACAAGATCAGGGTCGTTTGACATAACAAGATCTAAAATATTTGTTGATGACGGGGTAACTCTCGTAGGTTCAGGGACTACTTGCGTTAAGTTCGAATCTAAGCAAAGTTTAACAAAGTCATTACATTCGGGTGAGGTCGTGGTCGTAGATGAATTAGTTCTTGTCCACACAAAGAAGGATAATTACAGTCACCTAGAGGAAATATCAGGGAACTGTGAAATCTCTTAAATACGGTACATAATGAGTCATGAAAGAGCTTTAATGAATGTAGATAAGCTAGCTGGCGATCTATAGCCAACTTCCCAAATCCACGAAGAAAACATTAGGGCGCAAACGGGTTAGTGAAGGTTTAACGTAATTTAGAAAAACCTCCAGACTGGAGAAAGGCGAAGAACAACACAACACAGGAGTGGAAAACGTAAAGGGGACGAAGCTTGCATTTTGCGGAATTAGCGTGTGTTGTGTTGTCTTTCGTCTTTCCCCAGTCTCCGGGGTTTGTCTTAAATTATCCCACAATCCATTTCTTGCGCTTGGGGAAAATACACACCCAAATTATTTCTAGACAGCTAATTGTATTTACATAAAATTATTTTACTTTATTAGCTACTGCCATGAATGCACCGCCACCACTCCTATTCTGCCTGTCGATTTTGTAGATATTATACTTTCTTAGTCCATCAAATAATTCACAGTCCCACATTTTCGCAGAAAGCCAAGTTTCTGTCAAAACCATGACGCCATCTCTAGTAAAATCAACAATTGAACACAATTCACCTCGTTTTTTTAACAATGCTGAATATATTAGTAAAAAGAACTGACTTGAAATGGGTAAAACCCAAGCACAGCCCCTCGCGGTCTGTTATTTTCGATCCCGACGCCTGAGATGTGTTACTAAAAGGAGGGTAAATCTGTCCGTCTGCAACTACTAATGCTGCAGTGGGACTATTTTCAAGAATCTTATCGATCACCGGATTGTAAATGCAGCTTTTATTGTTAATGTACATTTTATTGTATCGATGCTTCAAAACGGCATTTCTTCCTTTCGCAAATTATATTAGCTTCTTTCGTGCGGGACGCGTACTAAGCGAAAAATCTTCACTCATGTAGACACGACTAGGCTTTAGTGAAGATCTGGAGAGTAAAATTTTGTCTTTTAGTTTACTTAGTAGGATGCAAACATCACCATATCAAGTGGACACTCACTCTGACAATAGGTACCGATTTTGTGGGTGGTCCTTTATACTCGGTTTATCCGCTACCTGGACCTTTAGTGACCGCCTAAATAAGTTGAACACCGTTTCGTATGTTTGTGCCTAGGTTTCAAATAATGCATCAGCAATCCTGTAGAAAACTAGATTATCGCGACGAGAATGAATTTCTGCTTTTTCCAGACATGTACATAGATCCCAGTTATCCTTTTGAAGAATATCAATCGAACTTCGTGTCACGCCAACCTCTTCGTTGAGCAGAGCTACGGCAGAAGATAATTTTTGGACCTCAGTCAATCTCTCTTTAACATCAGTTATGACCGTTTTTATTGACTCTTGGCTTTCTTTGACTTTGTTGAGTGACGTCACTATTCTCAACTGAGTTTGAGCGTTTACAAGAGCGCGTTCATAGACTACTTTCAGCATATCTTTCATTTTATTAATGTTTTTTAAGTTCAGCTTCACTCATCGGAGCGGGATTGGACTCAACGTCACGCGAAACCATAAGAAGCGGTCCCACCACATCAGCACAATCACACATAGTTTTACAAAACACTTGTGAGAATGGACGCACCAGTAAGCACAAGTTGCTTGTTCTTTCGCGCCTAACGCGAGACTTGAACCAACCTGTACGAACAAGAATGCGCAATGAGTGATCTGCTCGCTCTGGCAGATTCCGTGCTCACTCAAGGCTGACAGAGATGACAGCCGTCTATAAGGGCGTCCGCAGAGGGGGCCTTCGGAGCCGCTCGTGTGGACGCTGATGGCGCTCCAGTTGTGTCGAGGGAATTTTTCAATAGTAGGTTACCCGGCAGACAAGTCGTGTCACCTCGGTGTCGATACGTTTCATCGTGAAGGTTAAAGTGATCGTGATCCAAAAATTTACTGTCACCGCCGGGCAAAGGGGCAAGGGCCGTAGACTGGAAGCAAGCCGTAACCTACACGAACAAGAAGGCGCAATGAGTTGTCTTTATGGTCTGGCAGATCTGGTGCTGACTCATATTACAGCATTCGAATCGTTAAATTATATTCCGGTTTATAAAAAGCAAAGAACAAACAAAAAAACCTCAAATCCGAGAGCAAGTGGTGCCGAATGGTAAAATTTGCCACCTGACTTCAGAAATATGAAATTCTCGAGCAATTAGTATTCTAGAACAGTAAACTACAACAGCAAACAAAGTCTGGCGAGACACGAGGTCAAATGCCTTGTTACTCCCAGAGAATAAAAACGTTACCTGCGCCGCACTAAACCATTGCCATATGGCAGAAGCCACAGTTCGATTCAAGTAGAGGCGTGGGGCCATAAATTTAAGAAATCATATTAAGAAAATAGCTTACACAAACAAAATCCACGAGATAGTACACGTGCTATTTTTATTTTATAATACCGCTCCTGCTTTAAGCACAGGAGAATATTCTAGTGCCTCAAGAACTGTCCTGCCTCTGTGTGTCCGTCCCTATGTGTTTCGTTCTTTCGTGTTTCAAGTCAAGGCCATATGTTGGGAAAAGCCTATTTTTAGTGGTACGTAAGCTAAGAGCGAAACTGATTTTTTCGCTCTTTCTCTCTCACTTGAGATTATATTTCAACACGCATGGTGATCACCGCTCAGCTGATCCATTTCATTACACAAAATCTTTGACTGGGTAAACGCATTAAAAATATGCCCATTTACCCGATAATAACTGCATTATTAACGTTCTTAGATTAAATGTTCTGAAAAAATGCTCGACGTGTTTAGATGGTTTGTATGCCAAACGTATTGTCTCGCAAAACGTGGTAAAGTTTTCACAAGATTGTGGTGTTTCCACCAATTACCCGTAACTTCCCAAATCTTCAAGCACATGCATAATACAGGCTACTTCCTTAGTGATATGAACATATATCACCGTACTCGAAGTATGATATATATATATATGTGTGTGTGTGTGTGTGTGTGTGTGTGTGTGTGTGTGTGTGTGTGTGTGTGTGTGTGTGTGTGTGTGTGTGTGTGTGTGTGTGTGTGTGTGTGTGTGTGTGTGTGTGTGTGTGTGTGTTTTTGTGTGTGTGTGTGTGTGTGTGATAAAGTGAGCCACTAAAGGTTTCGGTAAATCACTGCGTTACTCATATGTGCATTCCTAGCCATAGATGTTCAGTACTTGCACTTTCGATTTAAATCGATTAGATAGAAGTTATGGGATATGTGCATTCTGCTTTTAAAACTATAGATATGAGCGATTATTTACATTATTCTACGCTCTTCGGAATAACGTAACATATATGTTCTCTTTCCAGCTGAACGGAATAAATACTCAGGGTGAAAATATTGCCGACAATTCTGGCCTAAAAGCAGCGTATCTGGTAAGAAAGTTAAGGGAGTTAAATAAAGCATCGATGTGAATTCAATTGATCTAGATTAAGATTAATATGTCTATCTTTTCTGTCCATTTACTTTAAGGCATTTAAAAAGTTTAATGACACTGACCAGGTGCTTCCTGAGTTAAACCTAACAGGAGACCAGCTGTTTTTCGTTTCAAATGCCATGGTAAGATTTATTCTGATATTCTACATGAATTCAGATTATAATGTTTAACAACTGTCGATAATATTAATCTCGGTGGCAGAATTCTGGTGCAAGATCCAGTTTCCCATTTCGAAAACTGCAACCTAGACCTTGGAGGAACGTGACTTTTAGCACGACCCCATGCCATTCCAGTAAAACCAGAAACAAAACAAGGCGCATATTTTAACGCAAGAGAAACCTCTCATGCTCTCAGATAAAGGCCAGAAATACTTACACACTTTGTTTCCTTTCATAATTCAGGCTACATATGTAGGATTTTTCACTTCACTTACGAATGTAAGTGAAGTGAAACAAGCTGCATGGGGATCGGCGTCCTTCGTCAGGCTGCTCCTAATCAGCTTTTTGCCCCAGTTCCCTTTTGTCGTGTGCCTTTTCTCCACATGACAACAAGTAAAAACGGATTTATTTTGATTTTCTTGTTTCTTCGCAAATAGCAACACACCAACTAATACTTCAAGTATATAACGAGTAGATTAAAGAGTACGCCGAACACCTTAAGAACACATTTAGCAGATATTAAGAGTGCTTTTCGTTTAATAGTCCGTTGAACTCTGCCGCGGTCTTTTACCTAGTTTGGCCACTCTCGCGTACAAAGTATACTCGTATTTGAATATAGTATTAGTTAACTCGACATATACACCAAGTATAAACTTAGTGTATATGCAGCGCAGGTTCAAAATTAGTTTTGCTTGAGTGTACTATTTCCTGCTGATCTATTAAAAAACAATAAACACATTCTGATGAAAGACAAGATGTGATGCATTAAACATTCAGCTCATCCGCTCATGTGAATTGTCTAGTATACTCTCCCCTCTCAGACGCAGTACCTGGGGGGTGGCCGTCTCGTCCGGTTAGACCTGCGCGGAGCCGTTCTGTTTAGCTGCCTCTCTGGTGCCGTAGTTTCTGGTTCTTCATCGTCCTGGTCCGTGCCCCATGTGAGCGTCGCTGATGCCCCATTATTTGCATCTTCTTTAATGCGACCTTTGCGAATCTGGTTCATGTGTCGGTGAGTGATGTCATTTGCACATTTAACAAGCCACGAACATCGAGCCATTGGTCTAACTAGGGTGCCAGGAATCCAGTTGGGCTTCTTCAGAAACTGCCGAACACTTTCTTCTTCTCCGGGTTGCAGTTGCCTGCTTGGCGGTAACTCTTCTGTTACTATTGGTGACTCTGCTGCCGGTACGAGGCGATCTAGGTGAGTTGGTAGCTCCCGACCAAACATGGCCTTAGCAGGAGTAACACCTGTTGTTTGGTGAACCGTATTATGCTGACGGAACAAGAACCGTGAAAGTCTCAGTTCCACTGGTGCAAACGGTTCTCGGCCCAGCCCTCTCTTCAACTCGCCAACGTATCGCTCTGCCTGCCCGTTGGTAGCGGGATGGTATAGAGCCAATGTTACGTATCGAACTCCATTGTCCTTGTAAAAGTTCTGTATTTCGACAAACACGAACGCTGTTTCGTTGTCTGACGCCACCTTGTGTGGTATCCCAAATGTCGCGAACAGTGAACGCAGTACATCAATGACCGATTCCGATGTGGGACGAGCTACCTGTCTCACCTTTACCCACTTAGTGTAGGCATCTACAACTACCAAAAAGGTACGTCCCTCCAAGGGGCCAGCAAAATCTACATGGAGCGTATGCCATGGTGCCGATGGTTTCGTCCACGAACGAATAGGAGCTTTCGTCGGATTCCTCTGCGTGCGCTGGCATGGCTCGCATGTTCCAACTGTGCCTCAATGTCGTCATCCAAACCTGGCCACCATAAATAACTGCGCGCACAGGTTTTCATGGCCACGACTCCTCGATGGCATGCGTGGGCCAGTGCCATTGCTTGCTTGCAAGTTGTGGCGTGACGACTCTTGCGCCCAGGTGACACATGCGCGATGAATTGCCAACTCTATGGCTCTTCTGCAATACGCGGTGAAGTCGTCTGCCTTCAGTTGCTGTACCGTGCCCTCTTCAATCGCTCTGTGAAGTTTGGACAGGATGGCATCTTCCAGCGTTAATCTTGCCACCAACTCGGTTGTAAAGGGCGGACTTGGAAGGGCTTCGAACATGAGCATGTCACCAGGAGCGTGAGGTTCCTCGATGCAACCCGGTAACGGCAACCAACTTTGCGCGTCTGCGTTCTGATACAATTTGCCGGCTCGGTATTTCAGGTCGTAGTCGTAGGCTGCAAGCTTTAGACACCAGCGTGTCAGGCGGGTTGAAAGTATCTGGGGGACCGGTATCTGCGGTCCGATAATTCCCAGTAGTGGGTGGTGTTCGGTCACGAAGGTTACCGGTCGTCCCGCAATATATTTGTGGAACTGGTTGGCTGCGAACACCACAGCAAGGCCTTCCCGATCAAGCTCAGCGTAGCTGCTCTCAAGAGCCTTTAATGTTCGGGACGCGAAGGCGAAGGCTATCGGTGCTTCCCTGCCTTGACTGTCATGCTGGGCTAGCACTGCACCCACAACACACGGTGAGGCGTCACATGAGATCAGTAGTGGCTTTGTCTCATCGCAGTGCGCCAGTACTGTCCTCTTCAGGATCAGTTTCTTGAGCTCGTCAAAAGGTCTCTGATGTCTTTCTTCCTATTGCCATGGAGTATCTTTCTGTCGCAGCTCATGCAGTACGGATGCTACTGTGTCTCTCTGTTCTAAAAAACGGTCGCAGAATACCAACATGCTCAAAAATGACTGCAGAGTCTGCTTCCTAGTCGGATCGGGTGCTTCCTCTATCGGTTGTTGCTAGAGGCCGCTGCCGTTGCTATCAGCAGTACGCGTAGTACTGACGTCACCGGGCGCTCTATAACAAGAGCACCTTCATACGCGCAGCCAGATCGCTGCCGGCCTCTGCGGAAATAAAGCTGTTTCGCAGTCCTTCCTTCGTCTGGCCACTCCTTGCACCGCAGACATAACAACTGGCGACGAAGATGGGGGCAACAAAGCCAAGACGAAGGTGAGAAGCCTTGAAGCTGCGTCCAAACAGACAGCGAAACATCACCGCACGCCGCTGGGTACTCGGCGACAGCAAGTTTCTCAAGATGGCATCCTCCAGTCATATCGGCCAAGTAGAAGCCTTCGATGAAACTGTGAGTGACTGGCAGTCTTATGAAGAAAGGTTGACGTCCTTTTTTCTGATCAACAAAATACCTGACGACCTCAAGGTGCATGCTTTTTTAAGCGTTATTGGGCCTAAAACGTACAGTCTCTTGAAGTCTTTGACGGCACCTGCCAAACCGTCAGAAAACACGCTACAGCAACTAACCCAATTGCTGCGAAACCAGCTGTCACCGAGAGTATCAGTGATTGGAGAACGAGCGAAATTCCATCGCCGTAGTCAGTTGGAACACGAGAGTATCGCACAATATGTAGCGGAGCTCAGGAAGCTCTCTCAAACCTGTGAATTTGGCGGTTTCCTAGATGAGTCGCTGAGAGATCGGTTCGTGTGCGGTTTGTTCCGTGCGGACATACAGCGGTATTTGTTTGCAGAGGATAAAACGTTGACATTTCAAAAAGCCGTTGAACGCGCACTCGCGTTAGAAGAAGCTAAAAAAAATGTTCAGGAGGCGCACGCAAAAGAAAGGAGCGATGACTTGCACAAGATGAGTACCGAAGATTCCGCGAAAAGGAAACAGTCGTTCGAGTGTTATCGCTGTGGCTCTGATAAGCATTTCGCCCGGGCGTGTCCGCACATTGCAGATAAGTGCATGAATTGCGGCAAGAAGGGTCACGTTCCGCGTGCATGTCGGAGTGCCAAGAAGAAGACTGTTGGCGGAAAGAAGTGGGTCCGGACTCTTCAAAGCGACGACACATTCAACGTCAAGATGCTGTCACCGCAAAGCCGGCGACCCATCACCGTCGACGTGGAACTTCAAGGAACTTCCTTGAGCATGGAATTGGACACGGGAGCCACGGTGTCCATAATACCGAAGCAGCAGTTCAAGAAATTTCAGCCTCCTTTGAAGCTTGAACCCACCGAGCTACGCCTCAAGACTTACACCGGGGAAGTCGTGCAACCCTGCGGTTTCGTCAAAGCGTCCGTAAGATACAAGGGCCAAGAGGACGTTCTACTCCTCTACGTAGTTGACCACAATGGCCCGCCTCTTTTGGGCCGCGAGTGGCTCACACGTCTTCGTCTGGACTGGGACAACATCTGCGGCGTACACAAGCTGTCGGACCCTCATCGGTCTGATGCAAGCAAGAAGTACGAGGCACGCCTAAAAGAACTTCAAGCCAAGTACAGCCGCATCTTCGACGGCACCCTTGGCAAGATAGAAGGTGAGCGAGCCACTTTATTTTTGAAAGAGCAACGTCCGAAGTTCCTCAAAGCGAGAAACGTGCCTTACGCACTCCGGTCGGCCGTAGAGGAAGAGTTGCAGAAGCTTGAACAAATGGGCGTCATTACGCAAGTGTCAACCAGTGAGTTTGCTACGCCTATTGTACCGGTAGTTAAAAAGGACGGCACCATACGTGTGTGCGGGGATTACAAAACAACGTTGAACCCTGTCCTAGACACGGAGCAGTACCCCCTGCCCAAACTTGAGGAAATACTAGCTGCGCTCGCCGGAGGCAAATACTTTTCCAAGCTAGATCTTAGCAGGGCATACCAGCAGATAGAGATGTCGGAGGACTCAAAAAAACTTCTCACACTAAACACGCACAAAGGGCTTTTTGCGGTGAACAGACTCCCTTTCGGAGTAGCGTCTGCGCCCGCGTTGTTCCAGCGCATTATGGACAACATACTTAAAGGACTACCGGGTGTCATATGCTACCTTGACGATATTCTCGTCACGGGAGCAACCGCTGAAGAACACCTCAGGAACCTTGAAGCCGTGTTTTGTACACTTCAGCAGAAAGGTGTTCGCGTCAAGCGTGAAAAATGTGAATTTTTCAAAGAAAGCCTGCAGTATCTGGGGCACATTATCAGCGAGACCGGCGTCAAGCCAAGCGAGGAAAAAGTTCAAGCGTT